AAAAATAAAATAAATTCTAGAGGCGCGACGCCCGAGCCAGCGGGCCGGGGCACAACGAACGCACTGTCTCTCCGAGCACACACGCATTTCAAAACGAAAAAGTTAAAAAATTAAAATAAAAAAAATGTTCAAAAGTCTCAAGATATCACGAAATTGTTTTCAAATCACAACGGCCAAATTTCGCACGCAAATAAATTTATAACGCGGCGAAGCTAGAACCGTCCGTACACTACGACTTCAAGTTGTACACTGACTCGACTGAGTGTACTGAAGAGACGCTCGCGCGACCACCGCTCGTGACGGCCTCGTACTTAAACGTAGTAAGCTCTCGTCACTTCTGCCTACGTATAAAAATATCGCTTTCCCAGTATTGCGTTTCACTAGTAAACCACCTGCTAAATATTGGCTCTAATTTCCTTTTACAATACCAAGAAAGTTGAGAAACTTTCACGCGTTGATCATACTTTTTTATTATTCCTATCTAGATACAACTGCTGAAAATCGAGATCAAAGCAGATCGCACGAGTATGAATTGTAAAATTAATTGTTGCAGTTTACTAGCCTTATCAAAGTTTCATGGTCCGATCGTTATTGTTGGTTGGCTTGTACAATTAAATCGATAATATTCCGTGACAAAAGCACTCGCAATAGGTGTCGATAATCTTGTAGTAGCAGATAAAGCGCATGTCGTAGACGGCTCGCGTAGCAACAGTCGCTTAGAAATTGATACACTCGATTAAGGAAGTGACGTAGACTGTTCGCGAGGACAATAACATGCGATAATGTTCGCTAACGTTTTTGAATATTCAGTTACATGTACCTAAGTACGTACATATATCTACACGTGACAGTCAAGGTACATGACTTTATTTAGTTACGCAAGAAAAGGGAAATTAGTATTACGTACCCATCAATAAAAATATTACATCTTCTGTTTTAAGCAGTCAATAAGTAATATTCGAAAGGATAAATTAGTATCGAAGGATTATATTCCGATAGTAGAGTTAAGCCGTCGGAAATAAATGATATTTAAATTTTGTACCAAATCAAAAAGTGTTCATGACACACTTTGTTATCGATTTACCGCGTGATCCCCAGATCTCACGTACACTTGAAAGGGTGAGTGGACTTCAAAGAGATTCAAAGACTTCGTCTTATTGGAATTTTTATTTTATCTTTATTCCTCTGTTTGGTCCAAGTCTGATCATTTTAAAGCTAACTTAGTTTATACAACAGCAAGAATGCCTATTTTCATGTTTTCTTAATCTGATTTTTAATAATCCAACAACCAAAAGGCGCTAATCATAATTATACGGAAAAGTTATATAAACATATAAATTTTATGATGGAAAAATAGTATTTAGGTTAAAAAAAAAACAAAAGCAATTATGATGATTTATACGTAGGATAAAAGTTTGTCAAACCCATCGATAACTAAAGTACTCATAGCCCGTATACACAGTTGTTAAGCTATAAAGGCGAGATTATAGCCAGGATAACATAAAAGTTTATTTTTATCCAAAGCTGATGCTATAAAAACGTTTCTATTTCTGTCCGGACGATATAACAGTAGAATTACACTGTAGTAAAACTTGTACTATTACATATCGTAATCTTTGTTTTGTCACAGAGGACGTAAAGACGGGAACACACGTCAGAAAATGGAGCAGTTGCTTACACGCCTGTTACTGGCGCAATGCGGTTACACATACCAGTAAAATTAAAAGCTTGCATGCCTGTTACTTGCAAGACACATGCCAGTCAATTTCAGGGTCAGTTTTTAGAAAAAAATCGAAATGATTTAGAAAGTATTCCTCTCCCTCTACTGACATGGCCGTAACTGTCACAAAATCAAATATTGTGCTATCTATTTGCTAGTTACATGCATACCAGTTAGCGTATCACTTGCCTATAACTGGCACGTGCAAGTAATTGGCAGTTATTGCTAGGGATGAGGATAATTATTAATACTACGACAGTCAAAACCCACTGTTCGATGGTTTGTCATTCACTTTTTAGTGAGCCATTCACCGACTCATTTGTAGACAGTATAATTAAAACCAGTTGGTTATTTCTTTGTCACTCTTACAAAGTTATTACTATTTACGCCGCAATGATTCATATAACGAATGCGACTCAATTGAGTTGAAGATAAATGTTAAAGTTAATAATTTTAATATGATAACGGATATAAGCTGATTTGTGGGATTAAAGGGATAATGTCTAGATTTATAACATTTGAAAAAGATAATTATTGAGGTACGCAGAATTAAAAAAAAATGTTACCAAAGTGAATGTTTGAATCTTGAAACTTCTAGATTATAACACTTTTAGTTCACAAATTTTCACAAACGCCGAATAGTAGCTATAATTAAAGGAAAAGCTTGTACAGTAAGATTTTCCTACGTTACGGAATTATATCCGTCAGTATCTAAAATCCTTGCCCAAAGCCTTGTCATCAATCTAAATCAACAACTATTTAAGATTGACATTCCAGTAGTGTTTCCAGAACGATAAATTTACTACTCCATGGTCACAACCCTGGCTCTGTTCAATAAAATAAGTTACAAACGTTTTATGGAAGATTAATAGTTTTTAATTTTTTTTAAACAGTTTTATTTTAAATTTTTAATTTGTTCGTTTAATTTTAAATAGTTTTGTTGTTTAAAACATCATCATTGTTTGTTTATACAATAACCTAAAGTGTATACGAAATATTACTAGCTGTAAATGCATGTCAAACTACAAAAAGTGAAACTTACTCTGACATCGTTCTAAATATGTAAAATATTCGACAAAATACATAGTAATATTTGCAGAACCTCATTATTTGAAAGATGTTTTAACGATGATGGAGATGAGACAAAAGGCTGGTATAAGTAGGACACATGTAATTCGGTCAACATTATGCTTTCGGTTTGTTAACATATTTTCATAATTTTAAATACTCGTTGCATATTATCACCCTACATTTCGCGGGTAAAATGATTCACCTGTTCCAAGAAAGAAAACACAACAGTAATGCAAGGCGCCCTCGTTTACGTACAAAAGAAAAAATCTGAGGAAATTTTGATCGCTGGCGCCTTCGTAATTATGTTTGAAACTGCCATGGCTTCAGAATGTAGTTTGTAATTGTAGTTATTTACTATGAAACAATATTATAAATATTCTTTTGTTGATACAAAACGGACAAGCATTGGAAATTAATAGTATCATTAAATTTCATACAATATTTTTGATTAAAAACAGTTAGTTTTAGAATATCGTATTGTTAAGAACAAAATTAGTACCGTGCTGTAAAATTGGCGCAACTCTAGATTATCGGCATAAACGTCACGTCCCTAGCTGACAGCTGTCAATGTCACTAGAAGTATGGATAGATTGACTGAGTCCTGACGAGAAGTGTTTCTCTGAGTTTAAAGCGACAGTATCAATTAAATAAGTTGTCTAAAAGTATAGACCAGGTTAAAATTTATATATGCTTTGGCACCCGGCTATTGTACCCAACGATGAATGGAATTTTATAAAATCTGTTTTAACCTTTAATATATAATTATGTATGGCATTTATAAAAGCCTTGATCACCATCTTACCGTAAGTGTAACTACGGGTCTTTAAGGAACTGTGCTTATAGGTGTTAAAATTGTAACACTTTCCTTGCATTTTTCTTAATGCATTTTTATTTTTAATATAGTTTTCTCCATAAACTACTGTTTGACAATCTCCTTGTGTTATTCACAAGATTGCATATCATTAAATAAATATTTATTGTACAATTTCGCTTTGATTTGTGATCACAAGTAATACTTTGCAGCACGTTGTCTGATTGACAAAAAATTTATACAAGCTTTCGCCCGCGACTCCGTCCGCGTGGAATTGAAAAGAACAAAAAGTAGCCTATGTGTTCTTTTAGATTATCCTTGACATCTATGCCAAATATAATCAAAATCCGTTCAGCCGTTTAGGCTACAAACTCTAACAAACATCCATCCGTCCATCGATATAAACTTTAACATTTACAATATTAGTAAGAAGTAAGATAAAGAGATAATAATTATATTTTTGTATGCATTGAAATACCTCAAAAACTACTGGGCCGATTTCAAAAATTATTGCACCATTAAAAAGCCACATTATCAGGTACATTTTTAATTTTACGCGGATGCAGTCGCGAGCAAAAGCTAGTAATCTATACACAGCGATCGACAGGATTATTACAGATTAAGAACAGTTGAAATAAAAGTGGCTATTTGTGTATTTAGTATCGTAGATAAGATCTGCTACTACTACATTTAGAATGTGGGTTATCTTAAGTAAATGTTGTATAAATAAGATGTAGAGTTGCACTATGCGGTCTGATTGGCGTGAATCATTAGTGTAGTGACACATGTGGCGTGTACAATCTTGTGATCTACAAAGTACGCATTCGTTAATACGGGATACACGCAGTTTGCCCCCACTACGTGATGTAGAGATCAGACTTTATTGCACGCGAGAGCTACGTGTCTCTATCCACGTTTATTTTTTGTTTACGTTGATTCGGTTATCTCTAATAATTACATACAAAAAGTGTATAAATATTCGATTAATAACACTAGATACAGATAATGTTGATTGCATTACAATTGTTTTAAAAAATCAATGAAAATCGAATAGACTGAATATGTCGAAAAAAATGAATATCTCGTTCATACATAAACATTAATCAATTCTACAACAACAGAATTGTCATTTCTTAAATTTAAATTTAGGGTAATAGCTATTCTTATTTAAATTTGACTGAT